ACCATGTATAGTCAGGCGTTTTTAGCTGAAAAAAACGACCATTTATAGTTAGCATGGGTTCAAACCCCGCTCACTGATGTGTGAAAATACACTTTCCTGCAAAACCTCCAGAGTGTATGTCAAATACGCCTACCCTGCAGTTCAAGTCACAGTCACTGGTGGTGTAGAGGTATACAAGCTGGTTTTCCGTCCAGGCAACCCTGGTTCAAACCCTGCTCAGTGATGTGAGAAAATACAACACCAACCAGTTACTTTTTTCCTACAAACCCTCCAGAGTGAATGTCAAATACACCTATCATGCAGCGTAAGTGACAGTCACTGGTGGTGTAGAGGTATACACGCTTGCTTTCTGTCCAGGCAGCGCAGGTTCAAACCCTGTCCAGTGACAGCATAACTGTCATTTCCAATCCCCTAAAGCGGGCATTGGCTTCAGCAAGTTCCCAGTGACAGTCGTCCATGTAGTGGAGGCTTTTTAGCCCAAAACAAACGACCATGTGTAAGGCATTTTTTTGCCCCCGAAAGACGACCATGTACCGTCAGGCATTTTTAACAAACAAAAAAAAAAAAAAAACGACCATGTATAGTAAGGCGTTTTTAGCCAAAAAAAAAGACCATGTAAAGTAAGGCATTTTTAGCCCGAAAAAAACATCAATGTATACTAAGGCGTTTTAGCAGAAAAAAAACAACTTTGTATAGTCACATGTTTATAGCCGAAAAAAAATGACCATGTATAGTAAGGCGTTTTGAGCTGAAAAAAACGACCATGTACAGTAAGGCGGTTTTAGCCGGAAAAAAAACAACAATGTATACTAAGGCGTTTTTAGTTGAAAAAAACGACCATGTATAGAAAGGCGTTTTTTGCTCGAAAAAAACGACCATGGATAGTAAGGCGTTTTTAGCCGAAAAAAACGACCATGTATAGTAAGGCATTTTTAGCCCGAAAAAAACAACAATGTATACTAACTCGGTTTTAGCCGAAAAAAACGACCATATATTGTAAGGCGTTTTTGCCGAAAAAAACGACCATGTATAGTAAGGCGTTTTTCGTCCGAAAAAACGACCATGGATAGTAAAGCGTTTTTATGCGAAAAAAACGACCATGTATAGTAAGGCGTTTTTCGTCCGAAAAAACGACCATGGATAGTAAAGCGTTTTTATGCGAAAAAAACGACCATGTATAGTAAGGCGTTTTTCGTCCGAAAAAACGACCATGGATAGTAAAGCGTTTTTATGCGAAAAAAACGACCATGTATAGTAAGGCGTTTTTCGTCCGAAAAAACAACCATGTATAGTAAGGCGTTTTTATGCGAAAAAAAACGACCATGGATAGTAAGGCGTTTTGAGCCGAAAAAATTGACCATATATAGTAAGGCGTTTTTCGTCCGAAAAAACGACCATGTATAGTAAAGCGTTTTTATGCAAAAAAAACGACCATGTATAGTAAGGCGTTTTTCGCCCATAAAAACGAC